ACAACATAATCCTTATGTTATGTAAAGCACATTATAGGAATAAGATAAAGTTAGGTTGCCAGGCAACGAAACATACGTCCACAGCAGCTAAATCGTCCGTGCGGTCGACAAGGGTTGACGCATATTTACTCTTTTGTAGGTAATTGGGAACATTTACATGGCAATTTCATACAGATTAGATTATACTTTTTGTCATTTGAGGGTTCACATGGTTGTACAAACCGAAACAAGGGCCTTAACTCTAGAAGTAATTTACAGAAAATTTTGAAATTTGGCAGGCTTTTTCCTTTTACTAATTTAAACAAGAGCATCGCTAATGCTGCAATATACGTCCACATTCCAGCTTTGATTGATATATGGTACTTTTTAAAATGAAGAGAATGAAATATGATTGATATATGGGACTTTTTAAAATGAAGAGAATGAAATATGAAATTGCTGTAATATGATCAGAGGCAAAGAAGGCTAGGCGTCGGGTTTGTTTTGCCAAATATCCAGACAAAATGCTAACAATAAATTCGGTGTGACACTGCCCCAGGAGGTCGGGGCAAGCATAAAAATAAATAGTTGCTGTCTTTATGGTATAAGGAATAAATATGCAAAGTTCCAAGATGATCCATTCAGAGTTGCCGCATGTAGACTATAAATACAAAAACTGGGCGTGGCTCTGCCCGTGGGGGTTGGATATGGAAACAATATAAATAGGTACCATCCTGTTATTGAAATGACAACATCAATAGTTGCCGTCCTTAGGGTATAAGGAATAAGTATACCAAGTTCCAAGATAATCCATTCAGAATTGTGGCCTTTGGGCGTTAAAGGCAAAAATTGGGCGTGGCTCTGCCCCCCGGGGGGTCAGGGCATTCACCAAAATCAATAGTTGATGCCCTTAGGCTATAAGGAATACATATACCAAGTTGACCTGTAAATGATATAAACATAAAAATTGGGCGTGGCTCTGCCCCTGGGGGTCGTGATATGCAGCTGTCGTCTTTGGCTATAAGGAATACATATCCCAAGTTCAAAGACAATCCATTAAGAATCGTGGCCTGTAGGCAACTCACAGAGACACAAAGAAAAAATGTATGTGGCTCTGCCCCTGGGGGTTGGGCAATCACCAAAAAACAATTGGGGGCATCCTTAGGGAAAAGGAATAGGTATGCAAAGTTTCAAAAGGAAATGTTAAGAATTGCGGCCTGTAGGCGACACAAAAGGCACACAAATTTTGGGCGTGGCTCTATCCCAGGGGGTCGGGCATGCACCAAAAATAATACAGGTCAGCCTTAGGGTATAAGGAATAAGTATAAAAAAGTTTTCAAGATGATCGATTAAGCATTGCAGGCCTTAAGTGACATACAGACACACAAAAAGAAAATGGGCGTGGCTCTGTCCCTGGGGCTGGGCATTCACCACAAACCATAGGGATGTTCCTTAGGATAGAAGGAGTAAGTATGCAAAGTTTCAAGGTGATACGTTAAGAAATGCAGTCTGTAGATGATAAACAATGAATAAAAGAAATGGGCGTGGCTCTGCCACTGGGGGTCGGGCATGCACCAAAAACAATAGGGATCGTCCTTAGGGTATAAGGAATTCATATGAAATTTTTTCAAGACGATCGATTAAGAATTGTGGCCTGTAGGCGACACACAGACACACGCACACAGACAGGGGTGACGGCAATATACGTCCACATTATGAATGTGGACGTATAAAAATATATGAAGCTTTTCCGGTGGGCTAATCAATGTTTAAGTTGGCCAAAATCAAATTTGTGATCTGTCCCAGGGGGTCGGGCATGCACCAAAAATAATAGAGGTCAGCCTTAGGGTATAAGGAATAAGTATAAAAAAGTTTTCAAGATGATCGATTAAGCATTGCAGGCTGTAAGTGTAATATGATCAGAGGCAAAGAAGGCTAGGCGTCGGGTTTGTTTTGCCAAATATCCAGACAAAATGCTAACAATAAATTCGGTGTGACACTGCCCCAGGAGGTCGGGGCAAGCATAAAAATAAATAGTTGCTGTCTTTATGGTATAAGGAATAAATATGCAAAGTTCCAAGATGATCCATTCAGAGTTGCCGCATGTAGACTATAAATACAAAAACTGGGCGTGGCTCTGCCCCTGGGGGTTGGGCATGCACCCCAAACGATAGGGATGTTCCTTAGGGTACAAAGAATGTGTATGCAAAGTTTCAAGATTATTAGTTAAGAAATGTGGCCTGTAGACGACAAACAAACAAATACTAGAAATGGGCGTGGCTCTGCCCCGGGGGGTCGGGCATGCACCAAAAACAATAGGGATCTTCCTTGGGGTATAAGGAATAAGTATACCAAGTTTGAAGAAAATCCATGAAGAATTGCGCCCTGTAGGCGAACCACAGACACACACACACACACACACACACACACACATACATACATACACACACACACACACACAGACAGGGGCGACGGCATAATACGTTCACATTATGAATGTGGACGTATAATAATGCATATAAATTTCATACAGATCGGATGATAACGTCATTCAAACGTTCACAAGGTTTACAAAGTAAACAAGAGCATCGCTAACGCAGCAATATACGTCCACATTCCTGTTTTGTTTGATATGGTCCAGTTTGCATTGAGGGTCTGTGAAATAAAACTGGGTTGTAGGACTGCTATCAGTTTAACACTTCGTTCACATTAACAGAACACAATTTTATTTTAAAACAATCGATGTCTTTATTCTAAAAGCATGGCGTTTCGAATAGGTATGCAAAGTTTCAAAAGGATCTGTTAAGAATTGCGGTCTGTAGGCAAAACACAAGACACACAAACATTAGGCGTGGCTCTGTCCCAAGGGGTCGAGCATGCACCAAAAATAATAATAGAGGTCGGCCTTAGGATTAAGGAATAAGTATAAATAGTAGCCTTAGGCTATAAGGAATAAGTATAAAAAAGTTTTCAAGATGATCGATTAAGAAATGCGGTCTGCAAGTGACACACAGACATAAAAAAAGAAAATGGGCGTAGCTCTGCCCCTGGGGGTTGGGTATTCACCACAAATAATAGGGATGTTCCTTAGGACAGAAGGAATATGTATGCTAGGTTTCAAGGTGATACGATAAAAAAATGCGATCTGTAGATGACAAACAAATAAATAAATATAATGGATGGGCGTGGCTATGCCCCTGGCGGTCGGGCATGCACCAAAAACAATAGGGATCATCGTTAGGGTATAAGCAATTCATATGAAATTTTTTCAAGACGATTAAGAATTGTGGCCTGTAGGTGACACACAGACAGAAAAAGAAAAGAAAATGGGCGTGGCTCTGCCCCTGGGGGTAAAAAAAACAATAGGGATCATCGTTAGGGTATAAGCAATTCATATGAAAAAATTTCAAGACGATTGATTAAGAATTGTGGCCTGTAGGCGACACACAGACATAAAAAAGAAAATAGCCGTGGCTTTGCCCCTGGGGGTTGGGCATGCACCCAAAACGATAGGGATGTTCCTTAGGGTACAAAGAATAAGTATGCAAAGTTTCAAGATGATACGTTAAGAAATGTGGCCTGTAGACGACAAACAAACAAATACAAAAAATGGGCGTGGCTCTGCCCCGGGGAGGCGAGCATGCACCAAAAACAATAGGGATCTTCCTTGGGGTATAAGGAATAAGTATACCAAGTTTGAAGAAAATCCAGTAAGAATTGCGCCCTGTAGGCGACACAAAGACACACGAAAAGAAAATGGGAAATGGGCGTGGCTCTGCCCCTGGGGGTTGGGCATGTACCCCAAACGATAGGGATGTTCCTTAGGGTACAAAGAATGTGTATGCAAGATTATAAGTTAAGAAATGTGGCCTGTAGACGACAAACAAACAAATACTAGAAATGGGCGTGGCTCTGCCCCTGGGGGTCGGGCATGCACCAAAAACAATAGGGATCTTCCTTGGGGTATAAGGAATAAGTATACCAAGTTTGAAGAAAATCCAGTAAGAATTGCGCCCTGTAGGCGACACAAAGACACACGAAAAGAAAATGGGCGTGGCTCTGCCCCTGGGGGTTGGGCATGCACCCCAAACGATAGGGATGTTCCTTAGGGTACAAAGAATGTGTATGCAAAGTTTCAAGATTATTAGTTAAGAAATGTGGCCTGTAGACGACAAACAAACAAATACTAGAAATGGGCGTGGCTCTGCCCCGGGGGGTCGGGCATGCACCAAAAACAATAGGGATCTTCCTTGGGGTATAAGGAATAAGTATACCAAGTTTGAAGAAAATCCATGAAGAATTGCGCCCTGTAGGCGAACCACAGACACACACACACACACACACACACACACACATACATACATACACACACACACACACACAGACAGGGGCGACGGCATAATACGTTCACATTATGAATGTGGACGTATAAAAAAGGGCCATATCTCTAGAAATAATTGACGGAAATTGCTGAAATTCAACAGATCTGTTTCATAAATTTAAATGATGCATATATATTTCATACCTATCGGATGATAACTTTCATATTTTGAATGATGGATACGTTTTTAAGTAAATAATAAACAAGGTAGAATATAGTTAGACATGCCGAGAAGTATTTAGATTGGATTAACATTAGCTAAAGTCAGAACAAGGTCCGTTGACTTTGCCATATGACTACGATGAGTGCTATTAATAGTATCATTGTTTAGCAGTCGACATCGTAGGACGACTGTTACATTCTAAGATTTTCAAACATCAAATACAAAATGACAACGGGCAAGTTTTGTTATAACGAGGAATATAATCAGACAACTCTATGTAATGGGGGACATCTCCGAATAACCATACCGTTGAATTCGAACCGTTTAACCGTCCAGTTCTAACCGTTTACGGCTATCCGACTTGTCGTAGGAGCACTAGTTGACTTAATGACAGACTTTATGATACTGTGCGCGCATGCTAACCATTCAGCCATCCACCCCCACCCGGTCATATGGACTCAAAAAATATAAAAGATGTTTAATAAAATGAAATCTTTATTCAGGAATTGTCTTTAGTGTAATGGCAAAAATCGTCACACAATCCAGCAAAAATCACATGAATTTACTAAAGGAAAACAGCAAGAATTTCAAAATCATGTTAAGACCACAACTGATGTAAAACCAAGTTAAATGATAACAAAATAAACAACAGATTTCAATTTGTAAAAATTAATGAAACCCACCATACAGGCCTATCACTAAAGTGACTTACCAGTAATTACTCAATAACTATACTTTAATGGCACAAAAAGCTGGCACTCAAATCCATCCGAAGACTAATTTGCCAACACTAAGACATTTTTAAGAAAGATAGACAAGAAAGGAAAGTTTGCGAATGTATCCCGGTATAATTTCACGTTCTATTTAAGCTTCATCAGCGTCAGGCTCCTCTTCATCAAATTCACCCTCCTCTTCAGCTGTGGCATCTTGGTATTGTTGATATTCAGATACCAGATCATTCATGTTGGATTCAGCTTCTGTAAATTCCATCTCATCCATACCTTCACCAGTATACCAATGGAGGAAAGCCTTTCTTCTGAACATAGCAGTAAATTGCTCTGATATTCTCTTAAACAATTCCTGAATAGCTGTACTGTTACCAATGAAGGTTGCAGACATTTTAAGACCTCTTGGTGGAATGTCACAAACGGCAGTCTTTACGTTGTTGGGGATCCATTCAACAAAGTAACTGCTGTTTTTATTCTGAACATTTAACATCTGTTCATCCACTTCCTTCATGGACATACGACCTCGGAACATAGCAGCAACTGTCAAATATCTTCCATGACGTGGATCGCAGGCAGCCATCATGTTCTTGGCGTCAAACATTTGTTGAGTAAGTTCAGGTACTGTAAGAGCTCGGTATTGTTGACTACCTCGAGATGTGAGAGGAGCAAAACCAGGCATAAAGAAATGTAGACGAGGGAAGGGTACCATGTTGACAGCTAGTTTACGTAGATCAGCATTAAGTTGACCAGGAAATCTAAGACAAGTTGTTACACCAGACATGGTAGCTGACACCAAGTGATTCAAGTCACCATAAGTTGGTGTGGTAAGTTTTAACGTACGGAAACAGATATCATATAAAGCTTCATTGTCAATACAGTAAGTTTCATCTGTGTTTTCTACAAGTTGATGTACTGATAGAGTAGCATTGTATGGTTCTACAACTGTATCAGATACCTGAAATTATACATCACACAATTTAACACAAATACGTTATATGGGTCAGCATAATTATGATTATTATTTAGATCAATAATCCACTTGTGCACAATGCTCCTTTATAGCAGTGAGATGAAAGTCATAAATCTCATCCCCCACTACACACACTAAAAGGAGGGAGGGCGGGAGAGAGGGGTGGTGGTGAGAGGGAGAAATGGGGTTTAACATCCACTCAACACAAACTAGGTCATTTTGGGACTTACATATGGTTCAAATTTATTTCAATAATTCGCTTGTGCGTTGGGGTCTGTAGCTGTGGGAGGAAACACAAGAGGATCCGGAGAAAAGCCACGAGGTTGGACAGACCACTCTACAGGGGTAAAACCTGACTATGCATAATCTATGTCAGTTGTTCATCTAAAAAGCCTCTTTTTGATGGATATGTGGATTCCAAAATGAATAAAATTCATCTATAGATAAACATAATCTAAGCTGTATGTCAAATGAACTAAAATTTTCTTACTTTTGGGGATGGTACGACAGAGAATGTGTTCATGATTCTATCTGGATATTCTTCTCGGATTTTACTGATGAGAAGAGTTCCCATTCCAGAACCAGTTCCGCCACCAAGAGAGTGGGTAAGTTGGAAGCCTTGCAGACAATCACAGCTTTCAGACTCCTTTCTGACAACATCTAATACTGAGTCAACCAATTCGGCTCCTTCTGTGTAGTGACCTTTAGCCCAGTTATTACCAGCTCCGCTCTGTCCAAAGACAAAGTTATCTGGACGAAAGATTTGGCCAAAAGGTCCAGACCTTACAGAGTCCATGGTACCTGGCTCAAGATCAACCAACACAGCTCGAGGTACATATTTACCTCCTGAAAAAATCCATGAATAATTCTGTGACAAAGATTCAAACCTTTCCTCCTAAAAAGGGCTTTACGTTTTACTCAAGCCTGTTTTTTTATACGATTTCACCCCAGTATAATCACTCACACTGGACTGCAGGAAGGATTTCATGAAACAAAGGTTCCTAAATAATTGACTACACAAAATAGACAAACCTGTAGCTTCATTGTAGTAGACATTGATTCTTTCCAATTGGAGATCAGAATCACCATGGTAGGTTCCAGTTGGGTCAATACCATGTTCATCAGAAATAACTTCCCAGAACTGTTAATTAAAAATAAATATTAATATCAGTATTAATATATACATAATTTTTTTTTAAAGCTAATTCCAGATTCTACAGAACATAAATGTCAATGCATGGATATAAAAATTAGAAAATATTAAAGATACATTATGGGAGATTAAGTAAAGAGCTGGCAGTTCTCACAATAATAGTTTACCAGTGTCTGCCAAGCAGGATACGCCCACATTTTGCAAGAGATGGATAGAGAACAGATAAAAACAAACGCGTTTTTTTGTACAATAAGGGGCAATAATCCAGAAAGTGATGGCCTGAAATGTGCAAATATCAAAAGGGACAGAGTTCTTTGGGATATAAAGATATGTTTTAAGTTTCATCAAAATCAGATAAAAATTGTGACCTCTAGAGGGTCAGCAACCTTCGTATTACACACACACTTCTACACACTTTGCGTACAAACAGCGGATATTTTGTCAGGCAGTTTCATTTCGATTTTCCTGAAATTCAAATTAAACCTTTATTATGGTGAAATGGTGATGTATTTAAACGGTTTTTAAAATCGGAAAAAAATTGTGACCTCTAGGGAATCAGCAAGCTAAAAATGTGATTTTTCGAACAATCAGAGGCCATAATCCAGGAAGTTAAGTTTGGGTATCTGCGATTATCAAAAGGAACCATGATCTTAGTGTGTAATTGTGACCTCTAGAGGGTTCACAACCTTGATTTTTAAATCGGATAATAATTGTGACCTCTTAGAGGACCACAAGCTAAAAATGCGATTTTTAGTACAATCAGGGGCAATAATTAAGGAAGTTCCAATTTGATAAGTACGAAAATGGAAAGGAACCAAGATATTTGGGTTATAAACATGCATTTCAATTTTCATCAAAATCAAATGAAAATTGTGACCTCCAGAAGGTCCACAACCCTGATACACAATATTTTGACACTATTTGCAAACAAGGGGCGGCCATTTTGTCTATCAGTCATCCTTATGGTGTAATGTTGATACATTTAAACTGGTTTTTAAATCGGATAAAAATTGTGACCTCTGTAGGGTCCACAAGCTAAAAATGTAATTTTTCGTACAAACAGCGGCAATAATTGAGGCAGTTATGGTCTGATATGCGCGAATATCGAAAGGAACCGAGATCTGTGGGTTATAAATTTTAAGTTTAAACCAAATCGGATAAAAATTGTGACCTCTACAGTGTTCACAAGATAAAAACATGACTTTTCATACAATCAGGGGCCATAATCCATGAATTTACAGTCCGATACATGCCAATATCGAAGGAACCAAGATCTTCGGGTGATAAACCCATATTTCAAGTTTCATTGAAATGGGATAAAAATTGTGACCTGTAGAGTGTTCACAAACAATTGTGGACTGACGGACGTCTGGGCGGACGGACAAGGGCGACCACATGAAAAGAGCAGATTTAGCTCTTGCATAATGTATGTTTAATAATTTAAGTTCAATTCATCAATTTTATGCGATCTGCTTGCAATGAATTCATTGAGATTTGCAACGTGTACAGCTTGTACAGATCACATTTACTTACCTTGGCACCAATTTGGTTACCACACTGTCCAGCCTGAATATGAACAATCTCACGCATGATGAAGGTTGGCAAATGAAATGAAAAGTGATCACACACTGGTTATATATACCTGAAAAACAACAAAATAGATTACCTATAATAGAACATTAAATTACACAAATTGAACATAGGTTGCCAGACAATGAAACATAAATCACAGCAGATATGTCATCCGAGCAGTCGAATATTTATTCTTTTGTAGGTAATTGGTGCATTTACATGACACCAACAAGCAGTTGTCATGCAAGATACGCCCACATTTTGCAAGAGATGGACAGAGAGCAAGCTCAAAAAAAGTGATTTTTCGTACAATCAAGGGCCATAATTTAGGAAGTTACGATCCGATCCGATATGCGCAAATATCGAAAGCAACCAAGATCTTTGGGTTTTAACCATGCATTTCAAGTTTCGTCAAAATCGGCACAAAATTGTGACCTCCAGAGGGTCCACAACCTTAATATACCAGATGTTTACACTATTTGAGTACAAGGGGCGGCCATTTTGTCTGGCAGTTTTGGTCCGATTTTCACGAAATTCAAACTCTGCCTTCATTACGGTGTAACGGTGATATATTCAAACAGTGTTTTAAATCTGATAATAATTGTAACCTCTAGAGCGGCCCCAAGCTAAAAATGCCATTTTTCGTACAATCAGGGGCCATAATTCAGAAGTTACAATCCGATATGCGTGAATATCGAAAGCAACCAAGATCTTTGGGTTATAAACATGCACTTCAAGTTTACTCAAAATCGGATTAAAATTGTGACCTCTACAGGGTCCACAACATTGATATACACTCAACCATCCTTAAGTGTATAACGGTGATACGTTTTTAAATCGGATAAGAATTATGACCGCTATAGGGTCCACAAGCTAAAAACGTGATTTTTCGTACAATCAGGGGCCATAATTCAGGAAGTTACGATTTGATATGCACAAATATCAAGAGGAAGCGAGATCTTTGGGTTATAAACTTACATTTCAAATTCCATCAAAATCAGAAGAAAATTGTGACCTCTAGAGGGTCCACAAGCTAAAACGTGATTTTTCGTACAATCAGGGGCCATAATTCAGGAAGTTATGACCGCTATGTGCGAATATCGAAAGGAACCAAGATTTTTGGGTTATAAACATATATTTCAAGTTTAAACCAAATCGGATAAAAATTGTAACCTCTACAGTGTTCACAAGCTAAAAATGTGATTTTTCGTACAATCAAGGGCCATAATCCATGCAGTTACAGTCCGATACATGCCAATATCGAAAGGAACTGAGATCTTAGGGTGATAAACCTATATTTCAAGTTTCGCTGAAATTGGATAAAAATTGTGACCTCTAGAGTGTTCACAAACAATTGTGGGCGGACAGACAGACGTCTGGATGGAAAGGGGCAACGACAATATATGTCCACATGAAAATGTGGCGTATAAAAACTGATCGAGAGTAAAAACATTACTAATTATCAGAAATAATTAAAATTTGATTGATGTTGAGATTGCCAACATTTATTATACAAATCATGTAAGCCTTTAATTTTTCAGATGATAAATGCAGATGTTCTAAGTCTTTGAAATTGTTGAAAATCAATAGGACTCTTCACATAAATACTGTATCAATTGGGCATGAAAAAATGACAGTAAATGTATATACTGATGTTTCTAGCATATGCACAGATTTAGCTGCTGCAATCTTACAAATTCAAAGTTGGTAAAGAAAATAATTACAATACACTCAAATCTGATCAAGAATAGCAATCTATTAAGCAATTATCAGAAATCACTAGAATTTGTTTGGCTTCTAGTTCTTGCCCATGCTCACCTTTAGTATAACAAGCCAGCAGTGAGGCTGATGCCCCGTGTCGAAATCCCAAAATAAATAGATGACACATTAATTAATTGCACATTTATTTTTTTCAAAAGTATCCAAAAACCAAACTGATTATCAACTAACTATACACTAAGTTTCATCACTCTCTATCTGATAGAATCAAAATTATCTTGTCCCAAAGCATCGATCAATGAAATTGCTTAGCACAGCTTAGCTTTAGCTCGAAATGTTAATCATTTAACTCAGTCAAGAAATTCACCTAATGAACATCTACATCATCAAGTTCAAACATTCTACCTTAATTAAAAGCTTGAGTTGTTAAGTTCCAAAGTCTTGACCAATCAAGCAGAAAATTCTCATCGAACTTAGGCAAGGTAATGATATAACGAATCTATACTCGGAGTTTCATCACTCTCACTTCATTATAACCAAAGTTATTGTGCTCCAAAGCACCAACCAATTAGATTGCTTAGCTCTGCTTACAGTAAGCAGACAATGTTTATCATCGAACTCCATCAAGGCATTCATCTAATAAACACCTACACCAAGTTTGAACATTCTACCTTACTTAGAAAGAGACGTATAGTGTTCCAGAGTCTCAACCAATCAAATTGTTTATCGCTCTGCTTACCCTGAATAGAAAATGCTCATTATCGAACTTAGTCAAGGTATTGATGTAATAAAACTATACACCAAATTTCATCACTCTCACTTAATTAGAATTAAAGTGATCATGCCCCAAACCATCAACCAATCAAATTGCTTATCTCTGCCTACCCGAATCAGAAAATGCTCATCTACGAACTCTATCAAGGCATTGACCTAGTAACCTACACCAAGTTTGAACGTGCTAGCTCAATTAAAAGGATAGTTATTGTGTTACAAAGTCACGGCCAATCAAATTGCTTATCGCTCTGCTTACCCTGAGCAGAAAATGCTCATTATCGAACTTAATCAAGGTATTGATGTAATGAAACTATACACCAAGTTTCATCACTCTCACTTAATAATCAGAACTAAAGTTATTGTGTCCCAAAGCATCAACCAATCAAATTGCTTATCTCTGCTTACCCTATGCAGAAAATGCTCATACATCAAGGTATTGACCTAATAAACACCTACACCAAGTTTGAACATTCTAGCTCAATTAGAAGGAGAGTTATTGTGTCCCAAAAAGAGTGACAGACAGCCAAAAAGTGTGACGGACAGACAGACAGACGGACCCATTTTAATAGTCCCCTGCTTTCTTCGAAAGGCGGGGGACAAAAAACATTTCATATCATGAATTTAGCTGTTCCAAGAATTTTTGAAGAAGTGATCAAGGACCATAACTCTGCCCTTAAAGAATTGACAAATAAATTGATGAGGATAATATTGTAACACTTAATACTGAGAAAATGGGGTATGTACTTGGATTAAAAAGATAAAGATAATCATTGCATGTAACAATATTAATTTTTATAATATGTCCTAGATGCATCTATCAAAATTATTAAAGGCATGAACATCTGTACACCTAAATTACTTTCTACATGGGAGCTTCTTTGAAATACAAATTCTCCTGGTTTTTCCTAATGAGTAAAACACATTTATATAGACCTACAACTGAAATCAATTCGGCTGTGAACAAGATTTAAAGTATACAACGAAGAACCTAATTCATTGCTCTTTATGCATTATTTTACAGATCATTCCGCATCATTTAAAAGTCTGTATACATTATATAATTTATCAAGAATAATTTTTTGGAATTGGCATTTACAACTTGTAAGAAGTGAATCCTTTACAAGTACTAGAATCCAAATTGTCAAACAAGTCTTGTGGCTTAATGTAACCAAACACCATTTTGCAATTGTGATGCCAACAAAATATATTACTGTTTGTGGGATACGGTTAGCAGCAGATTGCTATAAGCATGCTTTTCACATTAATTATACAAACAGTGGACATGATTTGTTTTATGAATGAATAACATTACTAATCTAATTCACCCCCATTTCCTCAAAAATTTTGACAAATATGTATTTCCATATTAAAAGCTTACATTTTAGTTTAGAAATTTTATCTGCATGGCAAGATATTTATTTTTTAGAAACAATTTTGGAGAGTGAAGCCATTTTTAATATTCCTGATATATTATGTACTTGTTTTCTTTAATAACCCAAGTCATGGATGAGTACTGGCACATTGTTGAATTAATGTTTATGGCAACACCTGGAGGTATTATTATTTGTGTGCCAAATAAGAAAATCAATGAACTGCATACTTTCTAGGGTTTTTCTAACTGGGCAGGTAGTTTATAAAATCTTCATATGGCTCATCTTTACAATTATCTGAAGCATTCACACAGAACTATATAATAACTGCATTGTACTAATTTTACTTATACGTATTCAAGTCAAATTAACACTAAAATATTAAAGCCAATATTCAATTTTGAAAGGTCGACTGTCAAGCTCTCCTGCTTTTACAATATTTTACAAAGACTGCAAGGTAAAGGCATATGTTACATTATCAATGTTAGCTGGTTCAAAATATAGTAAAGATGGTAAATAATTAAAGTTAACCTTAAAATAGTCTGCACAAAAACTATTGATAAGCTGAAGGCAAAAAATATATTCATATCTAGATCTGAAAAATATCGCTATGCACATAAGATGTAGTTGGTATGCAATAGATTTTTTTAGACTTTATTTCTTTCCTATGCATTTTATCAAGAAAACAAAAATTACTGCAGATGTGCAAATATATTTAGATTGTAAAAAGCATCCCTTTCCACAGCTGGCATGTCAGTATTACATTTATCAGTTATTACCATCTGGAATACTGTACTGCCTTCCTCCTAACAAAAAAAAATTCAGCTTCAGTAGGAAATTCAATACCCTATACAAGCTAATGTAGCATGACTAACACTGGAGAAATTGTATCTATATCAAATTACACTTGACTCATTACTTATATACTGAACAACAAATGTGTGCAGGATGAAAACTTTTTTAAAGGTTTTTCTTTATTTTTGTGTGGCTGAAAACTGAAATGAAGCTAGTTTTATCATCATTGGGGTGATTTTGAATCTCTTGCAAACTATAATATAATCAATGTTGAATCTCTGAAAAGAACATAATTCCAAAGATGAATTGCCAGGCAACAAAATAAACGCCAACAGCAGCTAAATCGTCTGGTGGCTGACAAAGTTTGTCACATATTTATGCTTTTGTAGGTAAAAGGAGCATTTACATACAG